GGCGGCCCTGCCCCCAGGGGGCCTAGAGCGATGGCCGTCTCAAGCGCGCGGACTGCGCGTCCTCGAGCTTACACATGCGCAGCTGGCTTGCGTAGTACGCCCCCCGCGTCACGGTCTCGGAACCAAAACTCTCTACTTACTCGGGGGTGGGGGGGGGGTCATGCCTGAGGCGCCGCGGTGGCGCACTCGCCACAGGCGAGCCATTCGTCCTCGTCCGAGTCCTTCGCGCCGGCTGCCAAGGAGGAGCGGCGGCCAGACAAGCCGGCCGCTGCCAAGAAGCCGAAAGTGGCCGAGCCGCTCAAGAAGGGCCAAAAGACTATGGGTGCCTTCTTCATGAAGAAGGGCTGAGCGCGGGGCCGGACCGACGCGCAGCGCATCGCGGCCGCGACCGCCCCGCTCCGCACGCTTGTGCAATGTGCGCGGCGCTGCAGTCTTTCCTACCGTATTTCCATATCGTACCCGGTCTGCCAGGGGCAGGGCAACCGCCAGGTGACTACGCGGGGTTGTAACGTTGTATAGCGAATAGCCCCGCATGCTGGGGATGTATCGTTGTCTCGTGTTGAGCTGTCCTCACAAAAGCGGTAAACTAATGCGCGACGCGCGCCGGCGGCCGCCGCGCCGAAGGGTGTACGGGGTAGCCACCCCTGTGGGAGCTCCGGGTGGCCCAAGCCGCGGCCGCGCCACACGCTCACTTCACACTTGCATACAGTACAGTGGTCGTGGCAGAGGTCAAGGACTCTCACGCCCCCCCCCTTTGGGAGGTTCCCCGGAGGGAGGTATGTGTCATGAGAGAAGATACACTCCTCCGTGTATCTAAACGGACGGAAGATACACTGAAGACACACTTATGCGAAGATACACGGCCCGGCCCAAACGAAGAGGTGTATCTTCATACGAAGATACACCGCGGCCCGAACGAAGATGTGTATCTTCATACGAAGATACACCGCGGCCCAAACGAAGAGGTGTATCTTGAAGATACACCGGTGTAATGTTATAAAGGTGTATCTTTGAAACGTATAGTCAAGTGTATCTTTGGCTATCACTCGAACTTTGGACAAGGGAATCGCCAAAAGAGGGGGGCGTGAGAGTCCTTGGCAGAGGTGTGAACACAGAAAGGCTCCCAAATCGATCGACATAGGCACCGGGGAGGTGAGGGGACACCCCGTATGCACACCGGGCGCCCCAACGGCGAAAACAGTGAGCGTATGCTAGCGTATGCTGACGCCCTCACACAACGGAGGCAAGAAAAAGAATTTTACAACCACTCCCTCGTACGACACTGGGGAAGGGACTGGCGCGCACTGGCACTAACACAGGTACACCACGGGAGCCGCCTAAGCGACTCCAAGAAAAAGAAGCAAAATGATGACAACTGCAGGAAAAGAATTCGCGGCTGCCTCAAGCCAGGTCGGCGAGGTTGGGAGGATGGCGCCGCTCATGTTCATGTGCATATATATGGCCGCCAGAAAGAAGAAAAACGTCGTGCGGGGACCGATCGGACCCGGCGCGAGATGTGAGGCTAAAATCGGATCGCTTCTCATCGCCAAACGTGTCAGCAGTCCTCCTCTGGGAATGTACGTAAGAGCTACATACATTGAAAAAGATTACAAAATGGCCCCGCCCGCGAGACCGAGAGTAGTGCAGGGGTGCACTCCAAGGGCGAGGCGGTGTGCCACGGAGGGAGCAGCGGTGTTCGTTGCGTCTCTTGAGGGGGACAGACGCCGCACGAGAAAGGTGCAGTGTCGCTTGGAGCGGGAGATGCACGGGTCGTGTCTGCTCAAGGATACGTCCACGCGGAGCCACGTGACCCGGCCCGCACGTGGCCTCTACAGATCGTGTTGATATTCCGCTTGTACTCTTTGTGTGTTTACGCCGGCAGCAGAGCGTTGTCCCTGTGCGTGTGTGGACCGACTCTTTGCGCGCCCAGTGGCGATGGAGTCTAAAATGGGTCGTTGGTTTGTGTTGGGTGCGTGACTACCCTCATGGCTGACGGATTGCTTGCTTGCTTGCGAGGTGTGCGTGTGCGCTTTTTTTTTGTCCGCGTGTCGATGTGTCCGTTCCAGTGTCCCCCAGTCCACACATCCTTGTCGTGCCAGTGTGCTGTGAGAGAGAGGTAAGTAAGTACCACCTTCGTAAGGAAGTAATGAGGTGAAGAACGGGCGGCAGGAAGACAGCCGCGCTCGCCGGCGACGCCAACGAGGCATCATCCGCCCGCAGGAAGGGTGCAGGAGAGGATGGCCGACGCAAGGCCAAGAAGAACCCAGACCAGGCGCGACAAGAGCCGCGACGACCACTGGCTCCGGCCTCTCCAAGTCGGCGCCGCTGCGCGGAGGAGGTGGCGGGCCGTCGGCAACCGCCACGCTGGGGCACTCGCTCGCGCCCGGCGGCAAGGGCACGATGGCTGACGAGCTCGACATGTCGGACCTGAACTCCAGCATTGAGATCGATGCCGGCCACGCTGATCGCTCACTCGACGCGTCCGACTCGTTCGAGCTGGAGGAGCTCGGCCGCGACTCGGCCGCCCCTGCCTCCTCCTCTTCGAAGGCGGCCTCCAAGACGCGTGCACCGGCGCTGGCCGCCACGGCGCGCGCGCCGCCCGAGAAGGAGGAGCTCGAGTACTCGATGTCCTTCGAGGCCGACGCCCTGCTCAGCTACACCGTCTGGTCTTGCGCATTTTGTCAATCAAAATCTACCTCAAAATTTGCGGCCGCCCCTCGAAATTTGCTGATCAAAATTTGCGGTGGCCCGGATCGAAACCTGTACTTTGACCAAGGAATGGAGCGTCCAACACGTGCCGGATTACCGTGGTCCGTGCCAAGACGAGAAAAGAATTTTACCAGCCCACTGTTGTGCGAGAAAAAGAATTGTACGACCCTCTCCCTCTCATGCTCTCGAGAAAAAGAATTTTACTGCCCGGTCGCACAGGCAGCCGCGTAGCACAGCACGATTCACGCCACACGCGACGAGAACGAAAGAATTTCACAAGCTCCTCTCACGACACTGGGCACGGGACTGGCGCGCACTGGCACTAACACTGAGAAAAAGAAATGTACAACAAAACTCCCTCGTCAGAGCTAAGAGAATTGCAAACAAGGGCACGCAAAGACGAGGAGCTAATGGACAGAGTGCTGCAAACAATGGACAAGCACAAGGGCACGCAGAGACGAGCAGCTAATGAACAGAGTGCTGCAAACAACGGACAAGGGCACGCAGAGACGAGGAGCTAATGAACAGAGTGCGGCAAACAATGGACAAGGGCACGCAGAGACGAGGAGCTAATGAACAGAGTGCTGCAAACAATGGACCATGTTCAAGTACGCAGCAAGACAACGTTTCACGCCTTCTTTTTGTACGCAATTCCGTCCTCAACGCAGCCCTTCTTCCAGTCGCCCTTGGCGGCGGAGAGGTAGCAGGTGTTTCCGTCGATCCCGCCGGTCTCAGCCGCAACCGCCCCGTACCATACGGCGGCGTTTGCGAACCCAGCCCGCGCTGCAAACAGGGCGTCGAGCGCTGCAGGCGAGAGTCGCTCGTCGACGCACTCGTCGCCCGCACGGTAGCTCGCGGGTGGCTCTTGGCAGTTGCCCCCGCCGCACACCATGGGCACCATGTGCTCGCTCCACCAGTGATTAGCCACCGGGTGGCTCTTCGCGACGAGATCCCAAAAGTCGCCCGACGCAGCGCAACCCTTCGCGGCATAGAGCAGAGTAGTGTCGTCCGTGTATGCTTGGCCCCAGCTGTAGTCCCACTTCGTGCTGCCCAGGCCGCGCGGTGATTCCCTCTCCATGGCCTTCAGGGTTTGGCTCCAGCCGAGGAGGAGGCCGTGGTCGGCAGCGTAGCTTTCCATGGCTGCAACGATGAACCTCGGGTCACCAACCTCGTCGTCGAAAGAGATGCCCGTGAGGTCTGCGCCGGCGTACTCGGCGTCGATGTAATCCGCGAGCGCTGCAGAGCAAGCCTTGTGCGCCGTGTCGTTGGCGGCGAAGTTGCACTGCGCAAGGGCGGGCAAGGCGTCTTTGCCAAAGTAGATGTTCAACCAGCGCTCCGTGGGAGTCGAAACTTGGCTCTCGACCTGCGACCAGAGCTCAATGCTATAGGATCCCTTCAAGAAGTTGGGCACGTTGATGCCGACCTTGCCGAATGCGGACGAGTCTGGCAAAGCATGCCAGTCCGAGATGCCTTCGCCGAGCGCCTCGAACAGAAGGAAGAGGGTGCCCGCCGGATCAGACGGCGGAGTTGGAGCTGGCGAGGCCCCGCCGCATTTCGTTTTCGGGTGTCCGTGGCAAGTATCGTCTCCTGTGCAGTAGCTGTCAGGCCACTTGGCAGTGCAGCTGTCGTCTGCAAGTGCCCGCTCGACCGGCGCAGCAGAGGCGAGCGCACCAAAGGTGAGAAGCGGGATCAGCATCCGGAGCGACATGGATCCTGCGACCGAATCGGACGTGGATGGCGGCGAAGTGAGCAGACCGGGCGGTGGAGTGAGGGGCTTGAGCCAGACAGGGAGCGGGTGGAGTCAGACAGGGAGTTGCCTGTAGAGCGCGAGCGAGAAGGTGGAGTGATCACAAGGTGGAGTGATCTTGGTGGCTTACTCCCTTAGCGATTTTAGGCGTCCGCCGGGTGATCGGCTGTGATGGCGAAACGTCGGATCCTCTTTTCTAGCCGTCGGAGGGACTCCGTTTGCCGCGAGGGGTCTCCCTGGGGTGTCTCCCTTGGGTGTCTCCCTGGGGGGTCTCCCTGGAGGGTCTCCCTGGGGGGTCTCAATGGATGCTTGGGGGCTTCCATGGATGCTTGGGGGCTTCCATGGACGCTGGGGGGAGGGGGGCTCCGAAGGGGGCGGGGGGCACCGAGGCGCAGCCCCGCCCGAAGGCCGCGCAACGATTGTGGGTATACGAAAGTAGCCAGACGATAGTAGTGTCTCTGTTCGCCCTGTGCATGTCAGGCCAGGCTGCAGCAGGGCACTACCATCGTGCTGCCCTGTTGCAGCCTGACTTAGCCCACTGTGCACAGTCGCCAGAGCACCACCACCGCCCGGCATCGTGTCACGGCGAGCTCCTTCTGCGCCCGCTCGCGAGGCTCTCGCGCTGGCACACTTTGGCCATCTGCTGCTCGCGTTCGGCGAGCTCATCTCCGCACTCCTGCCACGGCGCCGTCACCACACACCTTCTGGCCGGCTTGAGCCGGTCGGGGTCGCCGGCGGGGGCAACGCGTCGACCTCTCTCTCTGGTGCACCACGGGCCGCGACGGCTGCTAGCAGCGTGCGCGAGGAGGCAGTGTGCCGGCACAGTCGAGCCGGAGCATCGGGTTCTTGATGCTTGTGGGGTCAAGTCTGACCTTATGCGGCCTGATATGCAATAATAATGCTATGCTCTCACCCAGTCTTTTGAGATATTATCCCTCAAAGTCGAATTTTCGTTTACTGGTGACCATAGTAGTGTCTGTCTTGTTTGCGAGATCTTCAAACGAATACTTTAAAGTCTCGACAATCACTAAGCTGCTTATGTGACACCGCAGAGGCTCCCTTGGGGATGCCTGAGGCCACCCCAACCACTCACTAAGCCGTACGTAGACGAATTGGGCGCTACTTTTTTCGTTTACCCACACACCACAGCGCGGAAGCGCCGCCGCCAGTCGTCACCCCGACGCTCGCGCCGCCCTCGAGCAGCAGCCGCACCGCCTCGGCCTGCCCGTGCCGAGCGGCCCAGGTGAGCAGCGTGTCCTGCTTCTCGGTGTCGTGCCGCGCGTCGAGCTGGGCCGCGAGCGACGTGCCGCGCGTCCCCTCCCCGGAGAGGAAGGCGCGCAGCGAGGCAAGGTCGCCCCGAGCCAGGTCGGCGAGGCGGGTCGGGAGGATGGCGCTGCTCATCCCTCCTAGCCCAGCCCTCCTAGCCCAGCCCTCCTAGCCCAGCCCTCCTAGCCCAGCCCTCCTAGCCCAGCCCTCCTAGCCCAGCCCTCCTAGCCCAGCCCTCCTAGCCCAGCCCTCCTAGCCCAGCCCTCCTAGCCCAGCCCTCCTAGCCCAGCCCTCCTAGCCCAGCCCTCCTAGCCCAGCCCTCCTAGCCCAGCCCTCCTAGCCCAGCCCTCCTAGCCCAGCCCTCCTAGCCCAGCCCTCCTAGCCCAGCCCTCCTAGCCCAGCCCTCCTAGCCCAGCCCTCCTAGCCCAGCCCTCCTAGCCCAGCCCTCCTAGCCCAGCCCTCCTAGCCCAGCCCTCCTAGCCCAGCCCTCCTAGCCCAGCCCTCCTAGCCCAGCCCTCCTAGCCCAGCCCTCCTAGCCCAACCCTCCTAGCCCAACCCCCAGCGGCCTCGAACTGGCAGCCACTCAGCACCATCTGTGGTGGCCCTTCAAGTCTGCTAGAGCTCTACCCACCCCCCTCCCTTGAGCAACAGATACCACATAAGTCACTTTGCACACCACATAAGTCACTTTGCACTCCTAGGCTATGATGTCTCCTAGGCTATGATGTCTCCTAGGCTATGATGTCTCCTAGGCTGTGATGTCTCCTAGGCTGTGATGTCTCCTAGGCTGTGATGTCTCCTAGGCTGTGATGTCTCCTAGGCTGTGATGTCTCCTAGGCTATGATGTCTCCTAGGCTATGATGTCTCCTAGGCTATGATGTCTCCTAGGCTATGATGTCTCCTAGGCTATGATGTCTCCTAGGCTATGATGTCTCCTAGGCTATGATGTCTCCTAGGCTATGATGTCTCCTAGGCTATGATGTCTCCTAGGCTATGATGTCTCCTAGGCTATGATGTCTCCTAGGCTATGATGTCTCCTATGTATGTCTTTGTCTTTGCTAAGCTATGTATGTATGTCTTTCTTTGCTAAGCTATGTATGTCTTTGTCTTTGCTAAGCTATGTATGTCTTTGTCTTTGTCTTTGTCTTTGCTAAGCTTTGTCTTTGTCTTTGCTAAGCTAAGCTATCTATGTCTTTGTCAAAGTCTTTGTCTTTGCTAACTAAGCTATGTCTTTGTCTTCGTTCGCCATGCCTTTGCTTTGCCCTACCTGTCCTCGACCCTGCCTTCTTTGACACCTTGGATGCCCCCTTGCAAACTTTGCTACCAGGCCCCACCGCCGCCCCTTGAGTCGCAAAGGTGCTACAAGTACCTAGGCGATGAGCTATGAAATGCCGCGCTGGTTCCGAGCGCGACCTTGATAGGGTCGCAGCCTCGCGGTGACATCAGCGCAGCGTGGACAACGTCGCTTTGCCTTGCGGCCAGGCGACCAAGAGGAGGAAATATGTCGCACGAGCCACGCGTGAAACGCCGCAGGGGTCTGCAGAGGCTGGACGACTTCCTCGCAGCATTCTCCGACGAGGTCTGCATGAACGAAGCCGAGCGGTCATCCGAACGCGACTCCCGTGAAGCTCGGCGGTAAGCCGCAAAGCTCCTCACAACCGCACGGGGGAGAGAAAGAGAGAGAGAGGTAGCTGACCTCATTGGTCCCAGCTGATTCCCCAAAGGCACGTGTGGCAGTTCCTGACCGTAGTGCCGATCGCTGCAGGCGCAACGGGTGCTGCATGAGCGAGGCGGCGAGGCAACGCCGCGGCGTAGCGAAGCCATCTCCCCGCTGTGTGTGCGATGGCCGTGAAGTCCGCCTCGCAGGCCCTGAGACAGACGCCAAGAGCGCCTGCCGCGGGCGGTCTCAGCTCTTGTGCCGCGCCACTCGTACAGCGCTGAGTTGGATTACACCATCGTAGGCACGGTGCTTTCATCGTCACCGACGCGATGCGCGAGCAGAGCCTCCGCAACGAGTTTGAGAGCGAGACGGCCAGGCTACAGCAGGAGGCATCTTTGACGCAGCAGCAGCTCGCGCTCCACGCTGTGCGCGACCGTTATCTGGCTCGCGTGGATTTCAATCTCGGGCTGGCCGATGGGGCGACGGGTATGGCTGATATGGCGGACGCGATATGCGGCGGATGGGTTGCGGAAGGCGATGCTTTCACAGCACTTGCGCATGCAGCGCGGCTGCGTGCTGAGCAGGCACAGCAGCATGTTGAGCAACTTAATGCGGAAGCAGGCGAGCTGCTGGCGTCGAACATGCGTCAATAAGCCGGTCACCGTGCACACATGTGTTTTTGCGGTGTGATTTGTCCGCCACCTACCAGAATGGAACTTATTGTACAGGACCCCGACGCCCTCCGTGCTACTCCTCTCCCACGGACTTCAGACCCTATCCTCGCGCCCCACCTTGTATCGACACGCGCGCGCCCCCTCCCCCAGCTTGGGAGCGCACCGCAACACGAGACAGGGAACAAGCGCAGTTGGAGGGCGACCAGATCATTCAGATCGTCAAGGCGTTCAACCCTGATGGACCGTTGGCGCAGCTCCGCTGGCTCCGAGGGCCGCTCCCGATGGATGTGTTCACCACGTACATGTCGGGCAAACTCATGGCCGCCGATGGAGAGATCAATCTCGTTGTCGTGAACGAGGAAGGGCGTGCTGCTCGAGGCACGCACTGGTTTGCCGTGGCATTCCGGGCGCTCCCTGCAGAGCCGGAGTCGGTGTGCCCCAGCGGCGTCCCACCGCCCTGACCGTGTCGCCGGCGCCCCGGTGTGTCTCCGGTGAATTCTTTTCCCCATTCGGTGCCTGAGTCGTGCCGGTGCGTCGAGTGCTGTGTGCAAATCGGTGCCGGTGCGCAAGCAACGTGCCAGTGCCCAGTTACGTGCCCAGTGAGCAGTGTCACGAGCAGTGTCACGTGCCCAGTGTTGTGCACGTCCCGTTGCGCAAGTCACGTGCCAGTGGTGCGCAAGTCCGGTGTTGTGCAAATTGGTGCCGGTGCGCAAGTCACGCACGTCCAGTGTCACGTGCCCAGTTTATACGTGCCCAGTGAGCAGTGTCACGTGCCCTGACGTGCCCAGTGTTGTGCACGTTTAGGTCTTTTGTGTGCGACCGTGCAAGTGTCGAGCGATTCCGTGTGCGAGTCTCGCTCGGCGAACCCGCTTAAAGCAAAGAGGGGTAGGGCGTGGGTCCGCGGGCTTGGGGCGCACCCCACCCCGCTCAACGCAAACACTGGGTGCTCATTGGGTGCCGGCTGGGCGTTCTCTGCAAAACTGTACCCCCCCCCCCACCCCCACGACCACGTTTTTGTTTTGTTCTTCTTTTTCCCTTGAGTGCGTATTGCCGCTAACATCGCGGTATTCTTCTTTTTTTTTATTTGTGCGCTCTCCCGCCCCGGCGCCGCGATTTTTGGCGGTTTGCCGGGCTCCAGGCCACCCGCCCTGATCCTCTCTACTCGGCCCCAAGCCCGCCCATGGACTCCGAATTCGACAAGTGCCCCTCTCGCCTCCCGCCCTTTGAGGGGACCTACCAGGCCCGGCAACGGGAGGCCGCCTAACAAAAGACGCCCTCACCGGCCCACATTTCGGAAGGTCTTACATCCGGGAAAAAGGACCCCCA